CGCTGCTGCCTCGGGCGGGGTCTCGGCTGTCCGCTCTGCTGCAGAACCATCTCCGCCCCGCCCACGGGAGCCGGCGGCGTCGGACGTCAGTGCCGGCTCCAGTGCGCCCTCCCAGCCCCCGTGCGGAGGCTGCCCTGCCTGTAAGTGGCGTGGACGCGGCGCAGGGCCGGGAGACCACCCTGTCCAGGGCATTGCTGCCCACAGACCCCAGGTGTCCTGTGACGGCGGCAGTGGGCACGTGGCTGCCTGGCAGAGCCACACTGTGGCCTGGGCCTGGGGCCCGGGGCTGAGACCCAGCCGGGCAGCGGGGGAGCGTCCGGCCTCCAGGGCTGCCCGCCTTCTCGGCCCTCCCTCCTCCTGGCCTGGGGGGTAAATGGCGGCAGAAATGGGGGCCTCTGCTCCATGAGGCCAGACTGGCGCAGACAGGGCAGTCACCAGGTGAGGAGACCCCAGGGCCCCACCAGCCCGGATTCACGCCGAGGCCTCTTGGACCCCTCCGCCACCGTTTCTGCCGCGATCGCTCAGACCCAGCTCAGAGGCAGAGGCACGCGGGCGTGTGGGCCTGCCCCACTGGGCCTGGCCCAGGGCTGCCTCTCCCCGCCAGGCCCATCCACAGAAGCCACGGGCCTCAGAAAGCCCCACGGGGAAGGAAGCCTCACCAAGAGGGCGGGCGTGGCGGGCACACCTACCTGGAGCTGTGGCGTGGCCGGGAGCACAAACAGGAGAGAACAGATTGGGGGGTGGGGGGTGAGTAGCTGCCCGGGGAAGTGGGGAAGGGCTCTGCTGGAGGCGGGGTCCTGCGCCCCAACCCCCTCCTCTGTCCCGGCGCCTCCCACCGCCCCACCCGTGTCTAGCCTGAGCCCCCTCTGCTGGGCTGACGGGGTGCACCTGTCCTGGGGCGGCGGCGGCCGGGGGTCCACCCTGGTGTCGGCGCAGGGGGTGAGTCTGAGCTGCCGACCGGGTCTGCTCCGGGGCCACTGGGGAGCTCGCTGTTCTGACCCATGGCGGGGCACGCCCCACCCCGCGCTGGGCGGCAGGGGCCCTCCGGGCGCGGGCCGCGGCGCGGCTCACCTTCCAGACGCTGGCCTCCTTGCCGTACACCACGGCCATGTTGCCGGCCTTGCCGCCCTTGACGAGCTGCTGCTCCGTCTCGTTGAGCTCCTCGGACACGAAGCCCATGAAGGAGTTGTCCGGGGTGTGCGCTATGGCCAGACCACAGGGTCAGGGAGGTTGACCAGCCAGCCCAGGCCAGCCCCGGGCCTACCGCCCCCCCGGGCGCCCCTGGGGTGAAGGGTCCGGGGAGGGTTTCCATGGTGTCCCGGTCCCAGCACCTCCCTCTCCTGGGATGTCACAGTCGTGGGGCAGGACGCGGCCGCCGGCTCATGGCCGAAGGAGAAACAGGGCACACACCGCTGGCACAGCCAGGACTCAGCGGGCAGCCAGCCCCGTCCCCGGCACGCAGCCCCGAGGCTCCAGGCCAGCAGCAGCCCCGGCAGCAGCTGCTGCCCCCGCGTGGCTTGGCACATGGCCGCTCGAGGCCAACTCCCACCACGAGCTCGGGACCCAGCGCCCGCGGCAGCCCCAGCCCCCACGTCGGCCCCCGTCTCTGCCCCGGCCGCCGGCACGTCAGGCCTGTCCCGTCTCTGAGTCCCAGGGGGGCTCCACCGCACACCTCCAGGCCGCCCGCTGCCCTCCGCCTGCACAGGGCACCCCGGGGTCACCTCCGCCCAGGAGACGCCTGGTGGCCCCCAGGCAAGACTGCGTTCTAGCGGGTGCCCCGGCGCTGCGGTCCTCGGGGGCCCCCTGTCCTGACGGGGTGCACGCGCCTGTTTGTGGGGGCCTGGAGGGAGGGTTTTCTGAGCCCAGCCAGGTGCGCTCACATTCCCGACTCCAAACACCCCGTTTCTTTCAGGAGCACGTCCCCACACCGCGGCGCTTCAGAGGCTGGGCTGCTCACTTTAACCGAGCAGGTTTCCGTGCATTTCCGCCCACCTTCAGCCCTGCGCAGTCCGCGCCTGCGCTCGAGAGCAGGGGCTTCTGTGGCCGGCGCTCACGGCCCCTCAGTCTGAAAACTCAGCTGCTGCAAACGGCCTCTGCGGCCGCGGAACAGGCCATGTCTCCTCCAGGGCTCCGGGGCGAGCGGAGGGCCCCAGGCCCCGGAATTACTCCCGTGATGGCCAGGGCACTGGCAGCCCTGCGGTCCTAGGCGGCAGGAGGCCCCAGCGGGCAGGCCAGACCCTCGCTGACCTCGTCTGCCTGCTCACTGCCGCTCCCCCCTCAGGCTGGCTGCCAGCCCTCCTCGCCCGGCCACCCGTCCCTGCTCTCCTCCTGAAAGCCCCGTCATCAAGTGCCTCATCCCACCGACCCCGCAGGAAGGGGCAGGCCAGACACAGCCAGTTAGATGAATGAGAGCTGTCGCGACCAACTAAGACAACAGGCACTGGGCCTCCTGGTGGCCTAGGGAGAAAGTCTCAGGCTGTCACTGCTGCCTGCGTCCAGCCCCCGCCAGGGAGTGAGCACGGGGCGCAGCGGCCCTCTCTCGCTGCTCCCCTCAGCAGCGTACCTCGTCGATGGCCTGCTGGGAGAGCCCGCTGGCCGGCTGGGCAGGGCGCCCCGGTGCTGGTTACTCTCAGCCTCGCCGTCTGCAGTGCACCCAGTCAGTTAACATTTTCTGAGGAACATGATAGATTCCCAGGAGACAAAGAGACTCGGCGACCCCCCCTTGGGGTCATCTCATAACTAACTATCGGGGACAGAAATGCATAAGCGAGTCATTCAATTCACGCCACTCTACGCTTTTACGGAACCGAAACTAAGCGGCACCAAAGCAGAGGCGAAGCTGCGAGTAACAGCAAGTCTGTGCGACTGATGCTAACGACATGTGACTGGGGTTTTGGAGGGTGCGTAGAAGTCTGCCGGGCTGGGGACTCCACGCGCTGCAGGGTCCCCCCGGGCCCCGTTTCCTCAGGGTAGATTCTAGCAGAAGCCTCTTCACCGCCCCCTGCACAGCTGCCCTCTGGCCACCTGAGGTCGGCCGGAGGAACACGCCTGAGAAACCGCTTCCCGGACACTCCTAGCTCAAGAGACGCCAGCGACTCGTGAACCACCCGTGCAAGTAAACCCAGAAACCTCTGCGACAGGAGGAGTCCACCAGGGACCCCCACGTCGCTCTAACCCACCTCACAGCTCGAAGCTGCCTCTAAGCCAGCTCGTGCCCGAGGCTCCCCTCGGGGCGCCCCCACGCCCTCTCCTTCCAGAATCCTCCTTGGGTCCACCCACCCTGTGCCCGGGGGCCCTGGGGCAGTCACTCTCCTTGGTGAGGCCTCTGCACCCTTGGACTGGACCCTGGGCGGTGGGTTCCTGGGACGGGACAGCGTCAAGGGGCCGTCCCACCTCCCCAGCCTCCGGACAGCCCGAGCCCTTCCTTCAGCCCCCAGACAGCCTGCAGGCAGGGGAGACCCGGCGGCCCGACCCAGGGAGGCGCTGACTCGAGAGGCCAGAGCAGGACCCGCCACCTGCTTCACAAGCAGGTTCCCCGGCAGCCGGAGCCCAGTCTGTCCTCGGGTCAGAGCCGCCTGACCAGGGCGCTTATCTGACCAGGTCTCCAGAGCTGCAGACCAGGCGGAGGCGGCTGCACTGACCCAGAGGGGCGGCCCAGCCTGGGGGGCGCCAAGCAGAGACAGGAGAGGCGCCACTGAGCGAGGAGACACGCCTCGCGCGGCTCTGCCGACCTGGGCGGGCGCTGGAGACAGA